GCCTGGCAGGGCACCGTATAAACACCTTTGATTATTCATTAATAGTTTACTATATTTACTGTATTGTGTTTTTCGGGTTTATTTCGCCAGTACTGCTTACATATAAAATACTAGCTGTACCCATTGCTGCTTCACTTGCAACCAATGGATCCAATATGGAATATACATTGACACACAGACAGACACACAGACAGACATTTCATATTATACTCTATACATCTATACTCTATTCATCTATACTCATCTGGGAGGACTCCTGTGGGAGGACTTTGTTCTTCAGTTTCATTTAATGGGCCTTCTTTCTTTTGTCCGGCATTTTTACTTATCCTTGAAAGGTTTGACTTTTGCTTAGGCATCTTTATAATGATCAATATAAATGCATAATTTATAATCACTGGGATGCCCTCCCGATGTGAAAGGCGCTTTAAAAATGTAATTTTGTTGTTGTTGCTGTGGCCTGTGTTATTTTGTTCCCACGGCCGCTTGACTACGTGCGTGCTCTTTGGCGCAGGATGCCACAGCTGCACAGTCAGCCGGCGCGGCCACCAGGTGTAACTGCAGTATGTGTGTACATACGTTGGTGTTCTGACGCACGATGCCATAGCGCCACTTTGACTCGGCAGCCACCAGGTATCTGGTGTAACTGCAGCATAAAATGCAAAACTGAAATAATGTCTGAAAGATAGGAGATACCCGAAAACAAATATGCCCATGTCACTTTCAGGTTCAAGGTCTTTCTGATGAGGTATAAACCATGTCTCTACATCAAAATCGGTTATTGAAATCCTTCTTGAACGCAGACAGACATTGTCGTTTTATTAGTATAAGATAATTACTGCTTCCAACGTTACAGTTTACAGAAGGACGTCAGACTTGATACAAGATACTGTCAGCAATCTGAGCGTGCCTGTTTGGTTGTTTCATTTATTTATATAATAATAACAACAATAATAAAATATACAGATAAATTCACTTTACAGTACATTCCGTGAAGCGCTTTGAGATGTCTTGAAGACGTGATAAGGCGCTATATGAAATGCAAGGATTATCATTATTATTAGTATAGCACCAATTTTGTGCCGATAATAGGAGGAAGGTAGTAGTGTGGCCATATTAATACAGTCATTACAATTAATAATTCATAATATTTACAATATGAAATGTTTTAAAGCATTTTACATGATTTACTGTAAAGTGTACAGACTGTATTTGTAGGTGAACATGACAGCCAATTTGTGCACAGTGATGTCCCACAAACAGCCATGGAGTGAATGACCAAAGTGTGCCTGCCTGGCTCAGTTGGTGGCATTATCACCTCTGAGTCAGAAGGTGGTGGGTTCAAACCCCACGTTGGGACTTGAAACACTTATGGTCCAGCCTGATGCTCCAGTGCAGTGCTGGGGGTGAGCTGCACTGTCAAAGTTGTCGTCCCTCGGATGAGACATTAAACAGAGATCCCATCTGCTTGTTCAGGTGGGTGTTAAAGATCTCATTGCATTATTGAAAAAGAGAAGAGAGTTTCTCTCTCCCGGTGTACTGGCTGACAATCCCCCAAAATAAAATTTGGTCATTTGCTCAGTGGTTGTTTGTGGCAGTTTGTGGCTGCCATGTTCACCCACAAAAGACACAGCCACTACACTTTACAGTAAATCTTGGGAATTGCTTTGAGGCATTTTGACGACTTGATAAGGTAGTGCAAGGATTATTATTATTATTATTATATGTATGTATGCCATCCACATATGGAAATTTCCCTGCATTTGGAAAGGCATGCACTCTCTCTGGAGGGACGCACACTGTGCACCGATTTCCAGAGAGCATTAGGCACAGATTGGCAAGAGCCAAGGCTTGGGGATCCCAAAGTGTACGTTGGGGTAACTATTGGAGTCTAACCAGCTAAAACCGCATAGCTTTCCATTGAGAACACTGCTTTCCCTTTGCTTGCCCAGTTAGGACCACCCTCCCTGATAGGACTTTGGTTTGCAGGATTAACAGGAGCTGAGTGGGATGACTTCCTGCTCCCAGTGACTGGTCTACACTTCCAGCTCCTTCCGATGAGCCAGGCCGGGCTGTGCTGTCATCAGCAGTGGCCTGGAATACTGCGGACCCACCTGGCTCAGGAACCGGACCAGACCGTCAGAGAGAGTGAGCTCGATTCTGACATTCTGTTGCCAAACATGTCACCTTGGAGGCAGATGAACCTCAGCTTGGTCCCCAGCAGAGTGTGTAAATCACTCAGAGACACGAAGGGTGCTATACAACACGTTGTTGTTATTGTATTCAGTGTGAAATGCTGGGAAAATACCTTTCAATTCTAAATCAAACCAGGCAGGCTTGTTTACCGTTGTAATGGAGATGTCAGATAGATGCTGATCCTCAGAAAGAGATTGAGAACTTAGGAATGAGTACATATTGCAAGCAGCAGTAACTTATGAAAGTCATTCTATGCTGTTTTGTCTCCGAGAGTTCAGGAGAAGGGAATTTCTGCCAAGTAAAGTACATCACTGTACTGTCAGTCTCAGCCCCAGTCAATCAACAATGTGTCCCATTACCACCATAGTACACGCAATCCTTGCATTCAATACCGCACGTATAACATCAAAATCCTCACAACAGCAGCAACAACAACTTGCATTTACAGCGCCCTTCATGTGGGGTAGGGTCTCAATGGGGGATCTGCAATGTCCACCTGGACAGGCAAAGATTGGACCTCAGTTTATCATCTCATCTGAAAGGCGGCACCTCCGACAATGCAGCACTCCCCCCAGCACTGCTCTGTGCTGGACTGTCAACCCAGATTGCGAGCTCCATGTGTCAAAATGAAGCTTGAACAAAGAGTGCTTGCAACTGAGCCATCTAATCTTTAGTATTATGAGTTAATATACATAATAAACCCATTGTTAAGATGACAAAACTGAGCTGCAGCAAATTAATTATCTGTCATTGTCTAATGACTTGTTCTAGACAGTGCCAATGAGACCATTCTCACAATGCAATTTAAATCCTATCAGTGGATTCCAAAATGAGACATTAAGAGGATCTCATGAAAGGGGAATTAGATCAAGATGTAAAGAATGAAGCTATCAGTATTCAAGGGAATGAGTAGGTTCAGAGAAACTCGCATGGCACTCCCACTTCTGTGATTTCTTTGATCAGTTATAATAAATAATAATAATAATCCTTGCATTTGATGTAGTGCCTTATTGTGTCTTCAAGACGTCTCAGAGCGATTCACAGAATATACTGTAAAGTCAATTGACTGTATTTGTGGGCGAACGCGTCAGTCAATTGCGCACAGCAGTGTCCCACAAACAATTGTGGGTTGAGTGACCACATTATTATTATATTACATAATGATAATTATATTATATTAATAATAATAATTTGGTCACTCAATCCATGACTTCAACCGTGCCTTCAGCTCCCCTCTCGACTCTCTACCCCCTCCTCGCTCCCTCCCTCCCCTCACCCTGACCATTTCCCCCCTGCTCGGGTCCCGACACAACTGTCCAGTGCCTTGGGACGTCCTCCCGACGTGAAAGCCGCTCTATAAATGCAATCTTGTTGTTGTTGTTGTTGTTGTTTGTGGCACTCAATGAATTCTCTATGTGCCGCACACAGTGACTGAGCCAGGTTGACACACACACAGTGCCTGAGCCAGGCTGGTATCCATTGCTGGTGATGGTAGGCAAAGACAGAGAATTCACTGTGTTTTCTCTCTGGGTGTTTGTAAAACCAGTGTATAAATAGATGCTGCTCTCATCTCATCCTGCACCATCCAAGCACATGTTACTCTGATACTGTTACTCTGTACTACACAGATGGTTAGATTGCTCCCTCCAGCGACGGGTGTAATTATCACTCTGCAATTTTTGTGAATAAGATCAGACTGAGGTTTTGCTGATGCAAACTGTGGCCGAATGGTCAGCGAGGGAGAGTCCAATTTGTGGTAATATCAGACTAATGGAAAAGAGAAGGAATTTCCCCCAGTGTCCTGGCCAATAATAAATAATAATCCTTGCATTTGATATTGTGCCTTATCATGTCTTCAAGACGTCTCAAAGCGTTTCACAGAATATACTGTAAAGTGAGTTGACTGTATATTTTGTGGGTGAAATGCGGCAGCCAATTGCACACAGCAGTTTCCCACAAACAGCCGTGAAATGAGTGACCAAATTATTATTAATAACTGTCTGAATAAAAAAGGTCATTCACACTGCGTTGCTGGGTGCAAATTGGATGCCACATTTTCCTAAAAATATAGTCACTACACTTTATAGCAGCTCTGAGGTCCTTTGAGATGTTAATAATGATATAAGCATCAAATCAAATGCAAAAGAATGAAAAAAGTGTATTTGATATCAGAGATGCCATCCGTTGGATGAGATGTTAAGTCTCAGTGCACTCTGTGCCTATTTAGGTGGATGTTAAAGATCTTGTGTGCTATTCAAAAAGAAAATGGAGTTTCTCTCTCCCGGTGTCCTGGCTGACAAACCCCCCAGATAAAATCCATGGCTGTTTGTAGAATTTTGCTGTGTGCAAATGTTATGTGTTCATCCACAAAATACACAGTCACTTCACAGTAAATCCTATGAAGCACTTTCAGACATCTCATTGATGAGATGGAATATCAAATAACAACAACTTGCATTTATACTGTGCCCCTCATGCAGGATAGCGTCTCAGAGTGCTTAACTGTGGTGGAGTATGACGCCGAGTCGGGGGAGGGGCAGACTGCAGGAGAAGAGGAAGGTGTTTCCCCAAAGGAATTTCCCCTTGTGGCCTGGCCAATAATAAATAATAATAATAATACTTGCATTTGATATGGCGCCTTATCACATCTTTGAGACGCCTCAAAGTTGCTTCACAGAATATTCTGTGAAATGAATTGGTTTTGTGGATGAAAAGTGGTATCGAATTGCCAATCTGTACAAATGAGAACAATTTTCTCTGATTACCTCTTCCCATAATGACTCATATGTGTTTTTTCCCCTCCACAGGACACAGACCTGCTGGATATCAGCCACATTAAGGACAGCAGGACTGGAAAGTATGCTCGCATCCCCAAGGTAGGCTGGCCTCACTGTGTGCAAGCATAACCAGTGGCCATCAGTGCCTGATCCTCTTTGTCATTTGTGATGTTTCATTGACGTGCATCTTTGTAGCAAATAGATTTCAATGCCACAAACCAGCAAGAGTAAAGGCAGAAAAGGCAAAATACTTCAAATGCTAGAAATCTGATATAAAAACAGAAGTGGTTGGGAACACTCAGCAAGTCAGGCAGCATCTACGGAGAGAGGAAAGTGATTTGACGTTTTAGGTCAATGACGTTTTGTCAGACCTGGGGATTTTGGAAGGAAGTAGTTTATCCTCCTTCTCGATTGGAAGTACATCTCCCACTTCTGATGAAAGGTCATCAATTTGGAATGTTAACCCACTTTCCTCTCTCAATACGTGCTGCCTGACCTGCTGAGTGTTCCCCGAGTAATGCAGAGTCCATTTGCTGTAAAAATGGAAAATAAATTAATTTAGATATTTTATTAGCTGGTGGTAGCATTTCTGATTGTGGGGCACAGATTGTCTCGTTTCTGTACTATTGTCTTTCATTGTGCACTACCTCCCCAGGAAGTGTGTCCTGTGTGTGAGCGGGGACTGATTTCTGTGGCCAATTATTCCAATCGAGTAGGAGGATCTGAACAACACAACAACAACAAAATTACATTTATAGAACTCCTTTCACGTCGGGAGGACGTCCCAAAGCGCTGAACAGTCAGATGTCGGGGCCCGAGCATGGGGAAGGGGTGGTGTAGGGGTGAGGGAGGCAGAGAGGTGGGAGGGGGAACCAAAGGCACGGTCGAAGAGAAGGGACTTGAGACCGGCCTTGAAGGAGGCGAGGGAGGAGTGAGGAGAAGTGACCGTGGATGGAGTTCCAGAGTATGGGGGCAGAGAGGCTGAAAGCCCGGCCACTGATGGTAGGGTGGGTTGGGAGGGAGACATGCAGCAGACCGGAGCCCGATGAACGGAGGGAGTGGGCAGATTGGTAAGGAGTCAGCAGGTCAGAGAGGTAGGAGGGGGCAAGGCCATGGATGGCCTTAAAGGCGAGGACGAGGATCTTGAACTCGATCCTCTTGGGGATGGGGAGCCAGTGGAGTCGGGCGAGGGTGGGAGTGATGGGGTCGCGGAGCCTGGGGCATGAAAGTACACAAGCTGCAGAGTTTTGGATGATCTGCAGCTTGTGAAGGGAAGAGTTGGGAAGGCCGATGAGGAGGGATTTACCATAATCGAGCCTTGATGTGACGAATGCGTGGGTGAGGGTTTCGGCAGCCTGAGGGGTGAGGCAGTGGCGGAGTCTGGCAATATTGCGGAGGTGTTGGTAGGCAATGCCGGTCATGGCGCGGATGTGGGGGAGAAAGGACAGTTCAGGGTCAAACAAGATACCCAGGTTCCTGACTGGCTTAGTGAGGTTGAATGTGCAGCCGTGGATGTTGATGCTGCCAGTGCCCGAGGTGCGGAGGCGCTGGCACGAGCCAATCAGGAGGGCCTCGGTCTTGCTGATGTTGAGTTGGAGAATGTTGTCTCTCGTCCAGGACTTGATGTCGGACAGGCAGTCGGTCAGGACGCCACTAGTCCTGGAGTTGAGGGTGCAGGTAGAGGGATAGAGTTGGGTGTCATCCGCATACATGTGAAAATTTACCCCATGTCTGCGGATGACGTCACCAAGGGGGAGCATGTAGAGGGTGAAGAGGAGGGGACCTGAGGAACACCGCACGAGACGGTGCGGGGGCTGGAGGAGAAGCCGTTTGCCGCGACGAAGTGGAGGTGGTGTGAAAGGTAGGACCTGAACTAGTCAAGGACAGAACCTTGAAGGTTGAAGTGGGAAGAGAGGCAGTGGAGGAAGATTGAGTGGTCCGCGATGTCAAAGCCGGCGGAGAGGTCGAGGAATATGATTACAAACACAGGTTAATTTTGCAGATGAATTATAGAGGCTGAATAGAAAACAATCATTTTATTAGGCTTTATCTAGTCCTCTGCTTGAAAGTCCGTGAGTAGCACTGAGTTGAGGGAGTAAAACAGAAGTGGCTGGGAACATTCAGCAGGTCAGGCAGCAAATAATCTATGAGGAAAGTGAGTTAGCGTTTCAGGTCGATGACTTTCGTCAGAACTGGGGGATGTTGGAAGGGAACAGTTTATAAAGACAAGCAGAGAAAGGGGTGGGGAAAGAAAGACAAAGCACAATATTGAAAAAAAACACAAAATACTGCAGATGTAGAAACTGTAGAAATCTGATAACAAAAACAGAAGTCGTTGGGAACACTCAGCACGTCAGGCAGCATCTATGGAGAAAGGAAAGTGAGTCAACGTTTCGGGTTTTGAATGTTGACTCACTTTCCTTTCTCTACAGATGCTGCCTGACCTGCTGAGTGTTCCCAGCGACTTCTGTTTTTGTGTTTAAAGGAAAAAATGTGTTGGAGGAACAGGAAATGTTGAGATCACAGGTATTGATGATACAGGACAAAATGAGGCAATAGTGAGAGATTATAGGCCGAAAAGATGTGTCTGAGACCCAGAAGATATGTGAATGATTATAGAAGGGGGGGGGGGGGGGGGAGGAAGGCAAGGCTGAGGGAGGATGGGAGCCATGGCTAAGATCCGTCCAGAGCACTTGTTTAACTTTTGTAAAGGAGAAAGGTGTGAAACTTTCTCCAGAGATTCTTATCATTTTTACACTATCTTCATCTCCAGAGATAACCTCGAGGAAGAGATTCCATCCTATAAATTTACTTGGTTTATAACAATAATAATCCCTGCATTTAATACAGTGCCTTATCATGTCATCGAGATATTTTTGAATAGTGCCAGCCTTCAGTGCCTAGACTTGAGGGCCTAACATTGTGCGTTGTGGGAACTGCTGGAATTTAACCTACTATTCGAAAAGAGAGGGGAGTTTATTTCTCTAGATGTCTTGGCCAACAATCCTCCCAAATAAAATCTACCTTTAACGTCCACCTGCACAGGCAGATGGGACCTCAGTTTAATGTCTCATCTGAAGGATGACACCTCCGACAATGCAACACCCCCACAGGCACTGTATTGGAATGTCTTAGACTGTGTGATTCCAGGTCCCGACATGGGGCTTGAACCCACAACCTTCTGACTCAGAAGCGAGAGCAAGGCTGATGTAAGAACCCTAGGCTTGAGCACCCAACGCTGTGGTTGTGGTAACTGCTGAAGTTCAACCAGCTAAACCCATATAGTTTATCATTGAAAGCACAATTTACAAAATAATGCTTTGAGACGTCTCAACAAGAAGATAAGGCACTATTTCAAATGTAAGTATTATTAGTTGGTGCAAGTTGGCATTTTATGAATCATGGATTTTTATTATTTGTTGGTTTATGCTGGTATTGTTCTCCTGTCTCTTCCTCCACCCAATCCATTCTCTACTGTAGAGTCCAATTCATGACATTTGCAAACAACCCATCAATTGCAGCTCTCTTGTTACGTCACCAGGAGGCAGATGCGAGCAGTTTTGAAGTCTCAGTCACCAGTGTTTACTTGTGTTAGATGTTTGAGGCTTCAGTGAAAGAGGTTGCCCTCCAGGTCGATCTTGGACTTCAGTGTCAGTGAGACTGTCACCTTCTACATGGTAAACTCAAAGCAACCCTGTCAGAATCACTGAGACAGTATAACAAGAGGACACAGAGTTGTAAAGGGCAATTTGAGGTGGCCTGGCCAATTTCAATTCGCAATTTGGACAGACACCAGGAAGTAATTCTTTGCCTAGAGGGTAATTAATGACTGGAAAAGGTTTGCCAGGAAGGCGAAGTTGAGGGCAGGACACTGGGACTCATTTAAAAAGCAGTTGGATGCTGTGATGGGGGGGATGGTAGGGTGCATGTTCTGGAGGGAAGAGATCAGATGGGACAAAAGGTTTTAACCAAACCCATCTTGTGAACCAAAGCTGTCAGGGTGAAAAATATTGCAGTATTATAGGTGTGATTTAGCACAAAAATAAAAAATCAAATAATCATAATACCAAATTCTGTATTTGCTGTAGCACCTTATGTCATTGAAACGTCTCAAAGTTGTTTTTGATTTCAAGATCCTCTCAATTGATTTCAAATCCCTTCATGTCCTCGAGCCTCCCTGTCTCTCCGTCCTGCTTACCCCCCTCCACCACCTATTGCCTCTTCTTGGCTGACTCCGGCCTCCTGTTTGTTCCCCCGTCCCCTCCGCTCCACCCTCGGTGGTCGTGCCTTCAGCCACTACTCTCCAAAACTCTGGAATTCTCCCTCAATCCCTCCGCCTTGCCCCCTCCCTCCCCACCTTCAAATTCTACCTGAAGAGCTTCCTTTTTGATCATGCTTACGGTCACCTCCCCCCCCTCCCTCTCACTCTGGCTTGAAGTCAGATTCCGCCACTATCTAGCGCTCTGGGATGCAACAACGCGTGAAGGGCTCTATATAAATACAAGTTGTTGTTGTTGGTATGCTCTTGAAAGAAAGTTACAGAAAATCATTAACATTAAGGCTGTATTAAAGAAGCTGGATGCTCTGAAATGCTACAACAGGTGGAGTAACATACAGCGATCACCTAGCATTGCATTGCAACTAGGTGAGGAGACACTTCTAAACAGAATCGATCATTAGGAATAAAAAAAATAAAACTTCCCTTCTCAGAACTCAAGAGAACTCAAGAGCAACAAATGTCTCCATGATCAATAGTAGGTCACTTCCTGCAACATTATTCTATTTCTATTGGCTGACGCGTTTCACCCACACAATATACAATCAATTCATTTTACAGTATATTCTGTGAAGCGCTTTGAGATGTGATAAGCTTCAAGACGTGATATATCAAATGCAAGGATGATTATTATTATATAACAACAATAATCCTTAAATTTGATATAGTGCTTCTCATGTTAGAAATACTTCTCAAAGCATTTACTGTAAAATGCAGTGTCTGTGCACAGAACACTGTCCACAAATAGCGATTAAGTGAATAACCAATTCTTTTTATTGGGAGGATTGTCAGACAGGACACTGGGAGACACTCTTTTTGAGTA